TAGTATTCTGTCAGTTAGCTAATTTTGGGATATGTACGTGCATCGGTTTTTACTACAGTTAATGCTTTTGCCGGAATGATATAAATTCTACATGATAAGGTAAGCTGCCGGTGGTACCGAGACATCATTTTGTGTATTACGTGTGCGTATAATGGGGTTGTACTTCTGATTTAAGTGGTTACAGATTAATGTAATAGTGAAATGTATTTCTGATTTAAATGACTCCGATATAAGCTACTTAAAGCACTAAGGACACTCGTTTTGCAAGGAAATTTTACTTTCAGATCGAAGCAAAAGCTCAATGGCCTTCTAATTGTAAGAAGCTTTTGAGTAAGTTGATGCTATGCGGTATTTGGTTATGGAGTCCTTGATTTAAGGCCTTAGAAAAACCAAACTGTTCTTTTTTCTATTGTTGGTAAAGACACCTAACGGTTACCAAATGTTGAAAAGTCTGGACAAAGATATGTTATCCACAGCATGAAATTTCTGTAAAATTTCACTGAAAAGAGAGATTGGTCTAGGTGCTTTTTTTGTTCTATATTTTTAATAACACTGTAAACTTTGGAAGTTAAAAACTGATAGTCAAAATATGTCGTACCTCGGACTTAGCAAGTTTAGTTCTGGGAATATTCCTAAGTTTGTCAAGCAGAAAGAAAGCACTTTGTCATAAAGCACAAAAAATACCATTCAATGACCAAGTAACCGTGCCATCCAGGAGTTAGTCCTTAAAATCTCCACCTTCTTTGCAAAATTAATCTTGACCACATACTTACAGATTTTTTCTAAAAATTTGGAAAATTAATATTTGAGAGAAAACATTCCATGAATTAAACTTGGTTTCTGCTAACGTGAAAACGCAAAATATTTTCGTGAATATTGTAGTCATTTTAGTATATATATAAATCATTTAAGTGAAATTATATATAAAATTGTAGTATCTATTGGGTAATGTAAAATGAAGATCCTCAAAAATGTGAAACTCTGCCAAAAAAATAAGATTACAGGGGCACGTCATTTCACACTGAGGTAAATGGCTATCTCGCGAAATTGGTAGCACCCAGTTAATGATGATTTTGGAGACTCATTTTTGTCCACAAATTTCGCAACAATTCCACGGCATTTGGATCCGGTCCCTGTATAATTGGACTGCAAATGAATAATTGTAATTAATCTTTATATGTAACTGTAACAGTATGCGGCCATTATATGTAACTTTAACAAATATGCCTTCTAATAATTTCGAGAAAGGAAAGATACTGGCGATTTTCCAGCGGTCGGGGGAAAACTATAAAAGATCGAAGAGAATATATTTATTCTAGTTCTCAGTCTTTCAGTTCATCATCGACTGATTCATTGACATCGTTCATCATTGACTGATATATATATATATATATATATATATATATATATAATATGCATATTATAAATAAATATATATATATTTATGTATATACACAGAGAAAGGTAGATAGATGTAGATTTATTTATTTCATTAGGTACCTTAACGAAATTATTTATCACGTATTTAATACTTGTAAGACTTAATACACAGGCAGCAATGAAATTAAGTTTACTTATTAAATATTCTGAAATGTTGATACCCAAATATGTTGATAATAATATCTCGAATGCCATTCTAAATAAAAGATGAATGCCGATAAATTATAGAAAAATTTATTTATTTAAGAAAATTAATAAATAGTTTTGGTAAAATATGAGATATGAATTGTATGATTTAATTTCTTAATTCAAAGTTTATTTCCATCAGTATTTAAAAAATGCAGGCAATGCTAATCTTAGTAACTGCTGAATTTAAAAAACGTACTTTAAAAAATAAATAGAATTTTAAAATCTTAAAACGAGAAATATACAAACTTTTGGGTATATTAGTTATGTCCGATTTAAATTGAAAAATATGTTTTTGCACATATTAATTTTCAAAAATAAAAAGAATTACAGTTCGATATTTACAGTAACTGCTTAGACTGACTGCACTCGGCATTTTTCATTTTCCTATTATGTAAAGGAAATATTCTAAAACAATTTTCTCTCAGGTTTTTCCATGAAAATTTAAATTTAATATTTTCTCTACTCATTTTATTTAATACAGTAAGTATTATAGGAAGTTTTGAGTCATCCGAACTAAGAAGGATAATTTCTTCTCGTATCGATTCTAGTTGAAAAAAAGGTTTGATTGTAAAGGGTTGGAAAAAATGGTCTAACCGTAGTTAAGGTTATGCCCAAGTGAAGTGTCAGTAAGTTAAAAGAGTTAACGAATTGTCTTTAAAATATTAGACCATTCAAAAAGAAGTAAATTATACAAAGGTGTGTGTATTTAATTATGGCAAAGCACACGAGGGCTATCTGCCTAAGGGGAGGGATGCCTTTCGTGGAGGACTTTCTAAGGGAAACTGGCTCGTATACACGTTACACATGGGAAAACCACGAAAACGCCCATGCAGCCAGCCCGTTCGCGGGATTCGAACCTCGGACCGAACTATCAGTGTTCAGCGACTTTACCGCTCGGCCGCTGGTGGGCCTAAATTATACAAAGCTATTGTAAACCTCGAGATAATATAAACGATGAGTTATAGTTCTTTTACGAAGAGAAATTATGGAATATTTTAAAATTATTTTTCATAGCGATTTATTTTGTTGAATATGATACCATTAATTGCTTGCCAGGTAAACAGAGATGTAGCTAGCTAATTACCAAATATTAATTTGAGGTCGATAAATGAAGTGGTCGGCTTGAAAAGCAAACAAAGAAAATTCCTATTATTTTTGTTAGTTACTTCTTTCCAAAAATGATAATTCAATTAGAAAGTAGTGAACTGCTTTTTTTTCCCTCGGAGAAATCTGTGTCAAATTTAAAATCCGTATGAAATTCCAAACCTTTTTCAAATCTGTTAAGGGGTAAAACGAATATATGAAGAAGATCAATTGGTATAACATTAGTGATTCTGTAGAATATTTGTAATCCCACAATAATATATGACAACATAACTATGTATTTTACTCATGTGTACTCGTATAACATAAATTTCATAAGATAAAAAAGACAAAACTGATCCAAGAAGCATCTATAAATATATATGAAATTTATGTAGCTTTTAGAGTAATTAAACTAGAAATATTCTCAAAAGCGTATCAATATACCTTAACATTTATTTAAAAAGATTTTCTAATAATTTGCGGGTTAGGGAAAAAAATCTCAATTTCTGAAGTTTGCTTGTTATACATTATTAATTTTAAACTTTCGCCGAATATTCTTTTCTTTTAAACACAGATAGCATTAAAATAGTGTTCCTGACAAATTTTCCAAACCCGTAAAAGTGTACTACATAATTTATTTAGGAATAGGGAACCTAAATAAATTACTTTACATTCGAAACGCTCCAGATTCAAATATTTTGTTCAAAATGGCTTCGAAAGCTTTTCTTCGAAAGTTATTGAAAGTTTCAATAACTTTGATTTTTGCTTTAAAATGAATTGAAAAATTTACTCCTACATGAGATAAACGTTAAAGTTTTCCATGTTAACTAAAATAGCAAAATACAACAAATGTCATTTTTGGAATTTTTTATTTTTATGTGAAGCATAATGAAAATAAGTAGTTTCATGTATTGCTTTATTTGAAGAATTTCATTAACTATATTAAAATTACTAAACCCAGAATATTCAGTTTGTTTCGCAAATTTTTACCTTATTACCAATTATTTTACAGATATGTGTCTATATATTTTACGATAACAACTGTAAACAGAAGTAATGGTTTTTGCGTTGAGAAATAACGCTATTATAACCGTTATAAAATGAGAAAGTTGGTTTAATGCTAAGTGCATAAAGTATTAATATTCTAATAGACCTTTCTAATAACGGAAGTTTCGTTTAGATATTAATAGCTGTTTTTAATTAAAAATAAAATAAATAAAAATATTTGAAAAATTTATATTTTAGACGTACAAAATATTTCTCCGATTCTTGTAGGTAAGCCTTCTATTTTAGAAATATCAAAAGTACTATGATGAAAGGATTAGCATAGCCACTTTTCGTTAATCGTTTTAGGAAGAGCGTAATCGTGTATGATACTAATTTTTATATGAAGGCTTTGATGAAAGAAAGAGAAGAAAATTGCTGTGTTACCGTTTAATAAAACTGATTTTCTCTGTTTAGTTTAGAGTAAAATCAAAAATTTAATATTTTATCAAATATTTACTATCCTAAAAATAGTTAACCGATGAAAATGTAAAAAAGGTTTTCGTAACTATTTTTAACCCTAGACATTAAAATATGTCTTTCCATATTCATAAACTAAAACAAGTTATTATTCGTAATTAACTGCGCTGGTAGTTAAAAATATGAAATTAAGGGCATGTTGGAGCAATAAAATAAGCTGCTAACTATTCAAATATCAAAATAATAAAATAAAAAAGAGATCGCATTTTCACCGGCAGAATAAAATTCTGCGAATTTTCAGATGGTTATTAAAATGTTTCACTAATAGTTCTTTAAATAGACAACTTTTATATTAGTTTACATACTACCAATTACACAATATTATGGCTCTTGAACTTTTTTAAAAACTGAAGACACAGTTTTCAGATTTTTAAACATAAAAAAATTTATTTGCAACGCTTTATTTTAGTTAAATATTGCAATCAGAATCTGAGTTAAAATCCGAATAGAATTAAATCAGAAATAAAAGAATTAATGAATGTGATAATAGATACCATTGTGATATCTATTATCACATACCATTGATAGATACCATTGATACATACACAATAGATACCATTGATTAGATACCATTGTAACAAAAGATTAAAATTTTGTGTTTTTTTATAGTGCGCAAAGAATTCTAAATTATCCAATTTAATATGCGTAAACTATTTTCCAAGACAGTAATTAATTTGTAGTCTTGTCAGATAGTTTGCATTGAGGCTTAGTTTTGTTAAGCAATCAATTTACTAATCGTTATTATGAACCTTTTTCTTTAGGGCGAGCTGAATAAGTCTCTTCTGAAAGTGATCAACAAGCATCTCATGAAATTGCCAATCACGTCCATCATGCCAGGCTCCAACGCCGACGAGTATATAGACCAGATCCTTCTCAACGTCAGAAACTACATCCGGGACAATAATTTGGACCCAATGGCGTTGCCAGATTACGTATCCAATTTCACAAAGGAGGTTGGATTTTCTATGTAGCAGTATTACTTGCGAAAAATTCTAATTATAATAGAGAAAATCTTGAGTCTGTGAGTTTGTTTCTATTATGAGCCTAATATGAAGATGTTCTATACTTAAGAAAATTATATAGCGGAAAGAGATTAATTTGAAACATATTCGGGCCAAATTGGTAACTTTCCAATATGAAATTGTAGTACTGTAAATAACAAATGTGATGTTATTGTAGTTAAATAACTGCAATATTATAAAAATCAAGGCTTTTTATCAAAATAGCAGAATTAGTCTTTCACCGTGAAATATATTAATTAATCAATACAACCGTTTTTGAATATTTTGAATTGGTGTATTATCTCTAATTAATATATACGAAACCAAGTAATCTCGGATTTATTTCTAAACATTGCAGATGGTTCAGGATAGGTATTTGAAGTTTCTGCTTTCGATATTCAATAAAATTAATAAATGACTCTTAAAATCCTTTGGGAACAGTTAGGCTTGTCGAAGCACGAATTGCACACAAAGATACGCGGTAGGAAGTTTTAAAAAATACCTTACAAATTAATGTAATACAAAAAACTGAAAAATAAAATCTTAAATGCTGAGTTTTCAGTAGTTTTTAATTGACTAATTTATTATTAGTTATTTTTTTCATCATTTAAAAGATGTCATGAATACACGGCTTTTTTAAATTGAGCTCCGTGGAAAACTTAATCGTCTACATAATAATTTTACCCTAATAATTTATTTATAAATTGTTAAAAAAAGGTGTTAGGTACATTCGTTTTAGTTCTCAGTAATAATTTTATTGCAAGCCAATCAAAGAATCATCATCAAAGCCAATAAAAGACTCTGGAAAGTAAATTCCTGGAAATGAAGTACTTTTTCATAATATTCTGAAAGCTAAATTCTAAGATGAAAAAGAAAATTATTTTCTATCTTACACTGAACATTAATATAACATTGATAAAATTCGTCATCTATCCATATTGTTGTCAACATATAAAAGTAATAAAGCTCTAAATTTGTTTTCAATACTCACTTTTAGCCTAAAAGGGCCTATTAATTTCGAAATGGGATTTTGCATTGGTTCAATATAAATAGTAGCTCACTTTTCAAATTGTTGCCGCCAAATAGTATCAACCTGTATTATTTTTAAAGAAATTAAATGAAGAAGAATCTGCCTGTATGTATGTATTTCCCTGGTATTGTGAAGAAACGATGGTACATACAACTATCAAATTTTGAATAACTTTAACCTTTTATTTTTAATTAACATACCCAACTCTATGAAATCAGTATGTTGCGTGACCGGAAATAAAATACTTTGGTCCATGCGCCAAAGTGTTGCCATTCAGTAAAGCCTAAGATACTTTCAATTTAATCTGGAAAGTTGTCGAGTCATAAACTGAGCGATGTACGAAGACTCTTCTTAAGAATATTTTTTCTGCTTTTTTATGTGATTGATTTAAATAAAGATTTATAAAAATCATAAAATGTCTAATTAGGAATATTCAATATTTTTTCGAAATTACAGTACCTGGATTCATTGAAACCATTACAGACTTTTTATTTTTTATGATAAGCATTCTAGGTGAGTGGCCGTTTAACCACCTAGTTTTCAAAGAAATAATATAAAGAATGTAAAAATATGGTGTAGCACCCTCTAACGCTCGATCCGAAATTCTAAGGATATGCTGTATTAAAATATTTTGTTATTTTGCTGTTGAAGTCAATTTTAACTAGCGTTAAGTGCCAATAATGTGATATTTAACAAATAAAGATAACATATGAAAAGTTAATAAGAAAAATCTGATGTGAACATAACTTCCTTGTACCACCTACTAAATTATTCAAATTTTTTTCTGCCCTTCATTTAAACTTACTACTTTGAATTTATCCAACTTTATTACCCGATCCATTAAGGCAAGTCGAAAATGGCACCAAAATTTACCGAAGTCAAACACCTTTATTTTTGAAAACTTTTTTTTTTCCTAACGAATTTGGGCTTTGCATTCATAAAGACGTGCCAAATCATAAAATAAAATTTCTTACATCCAGCTCTTAGATGAATGCAGAAAAGTATTCTCCGTCTACATGGTAATTATTTAAATTATAGCGCATACGCTGATATGCAAATATGGAAAACATTCGGGGGAAAAAGCAGTACTAACAAATTGTAAAACGTGGAAAATGTTTAGCGAAATTAAAATAGAAATTCAAACATACTTTTCCAAGGAATAAATTACTTAGCATTTTAGCAGTAAATATATTTGTAGCGTTCATTTTACGTAATTATATACCACTAACATGTTAAAAGTTTTAAGTGTAAAAATGATGAAATTTCGGAGAAAATATTCTCAGTTGTCTTCTAAAGATCAATATTAGCAGACTCAGAATCAAGGAATTTTGAAGGATACAATGAATTCGGAATTTTGCTTTGGGTAGAACATTTCGGATAAAGGATATTAACTGTTATAGCTCATGGAATAATTAATAATGTTTTCGAGTTCTATATAAAAGGTAAGCCCAAAAAGTAGCCTCTAAGTCTTATAAATAAGAAAATGATGAGTAACCTTCAAATAAATTTATCTGCTTCAAAATAATCGCCAGAGGAGTCTATAGAATTTATCCAACATTTCTTTCGGTCATCCAGGTCTTACTCCTTTTTGTTATGGTAAGTTGCTCTACCATGTTTACATGCTATCTCTCTTGCCTGGATAAATATTGCGACTCCGAGCGAAATGTAAGGTCCTATATTTATTTTATTTGTAGTATCGCGCATAGTCAATTCCACAGGCGAATTGTAAGATTTTTAATTTGTCATTCAAATTTAATCAGTCGTTAATTGCTTAGAAAGCTGAATAATTAAAAGCTATAAAAGCGTATCTTAAGCATTTAAATTTGAATTGTCTTTATTTATTTTTTGATTATATATCTAACTGGTGTGAGTTAAAATAAATTTGTAATAGTTATTCAAATGATTAAATGTTACAGCACAGTCATGATAGACCTTATCAGAAATATGTCTCTTTCGGTAACTTAAACAGATAGTAGTAACATGATATTCTTATAAATGAAGTTCTGTACTAATACATCCACCATTCAGAACGGCCGCTCTCAACTAGCATCATCTGACATTTATTCATGGTTCACAATATTGCCATTTAATAAGAGAGATTTTTGCAAATATTTGAAGTATTATTCTAATAAATAAAAGATGTTTCTAAATCCATAACTTGGTATCTGATAAAAAATCGTTTCCTTTTTTCCTTTTAAGTGTATTAAATGCATTGCAATAAAAGTAATACATTAACCCTAAAAACTCAAATAAATAAATAAATAAATAAATAAATTCTGTAATCTTTGAGATTTTACACTGCGCCTAAAGGGGCGTTTTTTTAACGTTTTGTGTGCTACCTTCACTTATTAAATATCATGTTCTTCACACTTAACAACAAAATTCCGTTCAACAGCAATGTCGCAAAATAATTTTAAAATGAGCATATCTTTAGAATTTTCGATACACAGTCTCGTTCATTAGAGATAATTTTTTTTTTTTTTTTTTGTATAGTGTTGTTATTGCTTGCTTTGAAGTCTTTGAGTTTGTTAATTAAGAATTCGTTAAAGTTTTACAAAATATGAAATAGATTAAAAAAAAAAAAAAACCTCCAAATTCCAAATTTGGACTTCCAGATGCCCGTATTCGGGTGGAAACGTACGTTATTCAAAATAGGATGGCTCTAGGTACCGTTGTTATCACAATACGAGAAAAATACATACATTTAGGCAAATTCTTCATTATATAATTTTTTTAAATAATATACAGGGCTCTAATATTTCGTGGTAACAATTTGTAAAGTGAATCAACGCAAAATGCCAAAACGAAATTAATAGTTCCCCTGGGCAAATTGCCCCTTTGGACTAAAAACAAAATCTGAAATTAAGTTTTTTATGCATTTCTTATCTGAGCAACTTGACGGTAAGAAAAGGAAATCTGTCTAATTAAATTTTAATTTACCAAATCATAAGATTTCACAATCGCGAAAAGCGAATCTGAGATTGACATTCAAACACTTCATATCTATTATTCTGTTTCCAAATTCGGAACTTAGAAGCATTATTATTAACTAATCAGCTAGCAAAAATAATGAGAAGATGAATATGTTATCAAATATTCGAATATATTTTTACAAGCTTTCAACTTCTATTTCTTAAATTCTGAGATAGTTGAAAGCTAGCAGAATTAATTTAAATTTATTCAGTGTTATGAAAAATAACGTTTGCATGAAAGATATTTAAGAAATATATATATATATATATATATATATATATATATATACGTACATATGAATAATACATATACATACATAGGAATAAATAATATATACGAGTATATACTATGAATAATATATATATATTATCTATACATATGAATTATATATATATATATATATATATATGAATATATATATATATATACATATGAATAATATATATATATATATATATATATACGTATATATATATTGCAAAACAATTTTTTTAAAAACAAAATATGAACATGCCTAGTATTTTCGAGCATTAAGCTGCTGAAAAATTATCAGTAAAGACATAAAGTATATGTCTATATATGTATATATTTATATATTATACATATATTTATATATGTATAATTCGCATATATTTATATATATATATAATACGCAAATATTTAGCTTAATTATTAAAATCACTAAAATTATTTACTATTTGTAAAAATTATTAATTAATTAGTAATTCAATATACATGTATATATATATACATATATTTTGAATTAATAATTAATTAATAATTTTTAACAAATAGTAAAATAATTCCCAGCCTTTATTTTCGCAGTTTTATACTATCACTTACAAAAACGTTTTAAATGACACAATTGTTTATGTTTTCTGCTTTGAAATTTAAAAAAAAAAAAAAAATGTTGTATAAAATACGAAATCTAACTTTTTACACGTTCTTTCGTTCTCTGTACTTAGGTTCAGGAAAATTTTAAGTTATAAAAAAATAAGTATTGTAAAATTTAAAGTTAAAAATAGAAGCTTTGTAAAGGAAGTTTGTCTGCCGCAAGACAAAATTTTACTGTAATATTTGAGATTGAAATGGAGAATCATATTCAGTGGCCGCACACAAATTGAAGACCGAAATGTTTGTACGTAACTAAAAATAAAATATCGTTTAGAGAAAAGTTTTCTGATGCGATTTATGTTAAGAAATTATTTAATGAATATTTCTATTAAAATTATTGTGAAAAACATTGATCAATATATTTCTTTCCAAAATATATAGAATCTTATAGAATTAGCACTGGTACGTAGTCAACTCGTAATATTTAAGCAAAAACGAAAATTATTTGTGCTTTAAGGATTTTTTTCTTGCTATTACCCGATTATGATTTTCATGAGAATATTAACAAAGTATTTTTAGACTTTGAAAGCTTCTAAATTACTCGTGTGAAAATTCATTCGACATATTGAATGCATAAAAATTATATATAAAGATGCTAGTGAATAACAAAAGAATATGATTGGATGATAATAAAAGGTGAAAAATCAACCTCGAATTTACTGTAAGTTATTTACTAACCTACCCCTCAGTACAAATTCAAAAGGGCGTCAAATATCGCAAATTTTGAGGCCCACCAGCGGCCGAGCGGTAAAGACGCTGAACACTGGTAGTTCGGTCTGAGGTTCGAATCCCGCGAACGGGCTGGCTGCATGGGCGTTTTCGTGGTTTTCCCCATGTGTAACGTGTATACGAGCCAGTTTCCCTTAGAAAGTCCTCCACGAAAGGCATCCCTCCCTTTAGGCAGATAGCCCTCGTGTGCTTTGCCATAATTAAATACACACACACATCGCAAATTTTGAAATTAGATATCTGGATCAATTTTGGTCGTACGGGAGTCGAACTTTTTGCGTTTGATTTTTTATAACGAATACAATATTTTCCTAAATATAAGGACTGGAACAAGTGTCAAAATTTAGATTTCGTATTTTATACAAAATAATTTGTTTTATAAATAAAAAATACGAAAATAGAAATGTTTCTGCCATTTAGAAAATTTTTCTAACTTGGAATTTGGAGGTATATGTCTACGACCAACTGCTGTCTTCGACCAAAATAAAGTCTGGGTAACTTTTCTAGACACTATGTGTGAATATATACTATGTAGTAAAGCAAATTTAGATACAATGGTGTAGGTATACTTATTGACTAGACACTGAAATATTTTCTTTCGTAATACTGCGGAAACATTGATAGCGTAGATCCATAATGAAGAACAATTTGGCATCTGAGGCAGATTAAACATTCACTTCTGTTTCAGTTAACATGTTGCGTCCACGAACAGCTTGGCACTTTAATTCGTGCCTGTTTCAAAACGTTCACATTTGGATAGCTCTGAGGTAAAAACAGAAGCAGCTATATTTCTAAGAGCATAAAGTCAGTAAGTTGTGTTCAAGATGAAACCTTAATTCAGAATGAGTTAGTTTTGCTTTTGAATGCATTTGATTAGATATTTAATACTGCTCTAAACTATTATTGTGTGTTTGAGTTTTAGTTCCATTGACATTACCAGTGTTATGTAAGAATCATATGACATGGATTAGTCTCGAAATGACACAATGCAGAAAAAGGTTACTTCTTTAGAATATAGAGCAGAAATAACCCAAATTAAAATTAAGCATTATGGGGCTATATATAATGTAACTTATATTAAATAGTATCCTGTTCTTAAAAGGTTGGCTGATTGTAAATGGAATTGCCGAGATACTTTGAATACCACCCTCAAGCTTTTCATTCTGCCAATCTTCAGTTATTGTACCGAAGTTCTGGTCTCTAGTCTGGTCTAGTCTGTTCGGGTCTGTTACTAGTACTATTCAACAACTTGAAACTGTTCAAAACTAAGCTCTCCGTATTATTACGGGTGCTATAAGAACCACTCCTATTCTAGCAATGCAGTGTTTAACTTATAAACCCTCCAATAAGAAACGTAATTGAAAGATATGCAGTTCTTCTTTATGAAAAGCTGATTCACTTGCAAAACAATACTTTTTGGAGGGATTATGACACCAACTCAGAGAGAAATATTAAAACTCAAAAAGGGTTTATAAAATATGCTTATTCTGCAGCCACTGACATAAATGTCCACCTCAATGCTCAGCTTCTCTGTAGGCCTGTTTGCTCTTTGAGATAGGGAGAAATCTCGTTGTGTCTGAAGCTGGATAGGCAGTTTAATAAGAGTCGTAATAGCGAATAAGAGCTCTATGTACCATGAAAACAAATACCCTAGAGACACATGGTTACATGTCTACACAGATGGGTCAATATTTAACGATGAAGACAGAGCGGGAGCCGGTGTGTGTTGCGATCTTTTCTCATGTTATGCACCAATAGCTGCTCATTCCCCACTTTATGATGGCGAGATTGAAGCTATTTATATCGCATTAAAGCAACTAGCTATTCTGCAGAGCGGTGATTTTGTCAGAATCCCTGTCTGCTCTTCAATCTCTTGCAAATAAACAATACACAGATAATATCCGCATACTGGAGTGCAGAGAGCTCTCAGCGTCAATCTCTGTTCTTTCTAGTGGATCCCAGCTCACTGTGGGATTTCTGAGAACGAGGCTACTGACGTTTTGTCCGAAAAGGGTGCAAAGGTTCTCCAGAGACCTTTAAAAAGCTTCTCATTTCATTCAGTCAAACTCCTGATAAAAAGAAGCTTTGTCTCGAGGATAAAGCACAGACAGCAGTGTGTGACTTTGCCGGTAAGTCATGAGCCTCACTGATTGAGGATACACAGTTGATCCCAGATTTTATTAGAAGTGCAGCTGTGGCTCCTTTCCGCCTTACTGCAGGCCATGACTGTGTGACCGACCGCATATTTGCATTGGCTTGGGCTTTGTGACTCCCTGTCTGTATGTACTCTGTGCGGACTCATCAAACTTTTTATGCTACTCATCTTGACCCGTGTTCTGCATTTGTGTTTTTAAACTGTAAATTTCAGAAATATTGGAAAGCTAGAGATCTAATGGCGATATAGCAGTCTTCTGAGATTTTGTAATAAATAAATAAATAATGTTCTTCCATTCAAATAACTAGTTTCCCTTAGAAAGTCCTGCACGAAGGCATCCCTCCCCTTAAGCAAATAGCCCTAGTGTGCTTTGCCCTAATTAAATACACCACACCATTCAAATAGTCAAGAAAAACAAATCATTTATTCATGTTTAATGTTTTAAATATTAACCTCCTGACGAGTCTGTTTGAGGTATTAAAATATGAATAATTAATATGCAGATTTTCATAAGTGTTTTTTTTAAATGTTTAAAAATGATTATTACATAACTTAAAACAACATTTAAATAATACCTTGTTCGAAATGCTTAATATAGTTGGTAATAGCTTTCTTAATCTAATATTACAACTAAAATGTTTCTTAAGCTTTCCAGAATAGTAAAATCCTTATGGTATTTCTTTTTACTTTGTAATATATATATTTGCAAAAATGCCTTCCAAAAATTAATGATGTAAACAAATTAGCATTAACTTATATACATGAAATTTAAAAGCTATTAATTTTTCTTGCATTTGCTTTGCAAATTGGGAAAATAAATGGGGTAGGCGCACTACAAATGTTAACTTTATATTTTTTCCTACGTATGTAAAAAATGGAAAAAGTTGAATCGTAGTTGAAATTCTTTTCCTGTAGGTGATGTTTGTCACAGTCACAGGGGAAGCTAAGATGTATGATGGCTGGCTCTGGGGAATATCATCTATACACAGGACAGATGAGTGTGATTTCAATTCAAATAGAACTTTTATATCAGTCTCAGCGCATCTAGGACTCAATGACCTACGTCTGTCTTACAAAGGTACGTATGAAATATAGTATTTCTTTAAAAAACTTACTATTTGTTGCACTACAGTTCATTTAAAAAGCATATGCATTCAGTAATAAAATTACTATCTACAATATTAATTTTTTATATCACAAAGTTGAATACTTTGCGATCTGTCCTCTTCTTCTTTAAGTGCCGTAAACACAATTTATATTTTTAATGATGATCCGGATAACTATCATGTATAATTTTTCCTCAAAAATTCCCACTTATGTACATTGTCAAAGCTCTGAGTTTTTAAAAAGCTTTTTTAATCACAGCAGAAATTTAACCTATCCTGCATTTTTTGTAAAATACACCAAAAGACATATTTTTAGTGTAATTTTATCAATGTGTATATAAATGCGTAGGTTCGTCCAAACGGATGTTTGTTACAACAAACTTTCCACTACTCTTTCACAGCAGGTTGAGAACTGAGCATTATCTAAAGTAAAACAGTTCATATAAAATTAATGAGCTTATTTACAGTTGAATTAAAATTAACATGCATTTGTGCTTAAACGCACGACTATCAAAATATTATAAGAATTTTCACAAAATAATGTTTGTGAAATAGGTCAGTACAGGGAATATCGAATACAGTGCGCTGATTTCGAATATAGGTAACGAGAAGAAACATCGTATTGTGAATATTGAAAGATTGCAATAATTCCTTCAAACATATGTAAAATCATAAAGACGGGTTCGAAATTATTTTATCTGCAGCGGTTACTTTTAAAATAAAAGCTGAACAGTCATACAAAAGAAACATTTTTTCTATTATGTTACTAATTTTTAATACTACTCTGACATTGAATATTGCATTGGAAAAAATTACAAAAATCAGATTCCCTTTGAATGAAATTTACAAGAGCAATGCTGCCGAATCTGTTTGTATTCATAAATAGTTAAACAAATAGTTTCTACGAAATGCTTGATGTGAAATTTGAAAGTTTAGAACTTTGCGATTTTCATTTTTGAAACGCACTTTTTCCATAAAATATATTATCTGTGAATTTCATGCACTCTTTAAATGTTATATAAATACAACAATAAATATACAGATAAATATTCAATTATTGACATTAATGAAATTATAAATGAAACTTTGAAAAACGTTATTACATATGTAGAATATATAGGTCGAATGATAATAGTGAAATAAAAAGCTTACTTTTTGTTTTGTTACATTAAAGATGGTCTGTGTTAAGAAACAAATAAAAGTTGCATAAAATAGCGAGCTATGCATTTAAATAATTCTAGTTGGATGGAAGATAGAGCACTTGAATAATGACCTTGCTTACTTTGCGATGATCTCACTAGCTTCCATAAAAGATACTGTTCCGTGTGTAATGATTAAATGCACACATAATCGTTGAAAGCTTGATGAAATTTATTTTCCAAACACACTTGACAATTCTGTAACTTTTCACACAAAAGTACTCGAACAGTTCTTCTCAGTATAACAGAACACAGTCAGTAGGTACCACTTGTAACTACAAAGAACGTTGAACACACACACTTAACTTATCAAAAAGCAAACTTTCGCATGGGAGAGTAAAACAAATTCTATGAATAAGCAGACTTGCTCGTATGTTTGGACCTTGACCCTAAGTTTCAACGTAGTGGTGATGTTATCCTGCTGTATAAGATGGCCAGAGATCTTATATTCTGAGCACAAGGTTCCCTCGCCTCTTATCGCTGACGATTTTTAAGATTTTAATGGTAAAATATTTATGTCTTAATTTTTGATCGTAAAGATTTGAATTTTAGTGCTGTAATTTTGAATTTAATGCTTTTTTTGGCAAGTGGTCTATTGTAATTGATTGATTTCGGAATAAAGTTATAAGAAACAACAACATAATCCTTAAAAATATTAGCTTCCAAAAGTTAAGCATGCGACGATAAAATCAACAAAATGGAAAAGTAAAGCTTTAATTTCAGCCAAATTAAACATGAAGGCAGCAAAAGTATTTATTCATGAAATAAATCAAGCATTATGTACAAAGATGAAAACAATATTTAACAAATACTTTACAGCAACTGTACATACTTTCAATTCTATATTGATTATACTATATTGCTTAAGATTAAAAGCAATATAGTATGTTCAATGTAGTATTTATGGAAAAACTTAGTATATTGCCTACGATATATACAATCTATTATTTTAAATCTTTAATTTAATATACTGTGTTTAGTATTATATTGTTCAAAACTTTCGTTTATTTGGAAATTTATTTTAAAACACTTTTATTATATCTGAGGAAACATTAACATTTTTAATGTACTTTTCTTGTATATTTGAAACATTAAAATGTTCAAAAATGCAACTAAGTCGAAAGAATTTACAAAGGCTTATACAGAGAAAGTTTGCGCCGCGTTAACTTTTATAAATGTTCTTAACAGGCACAGTTGAAAGACTGGATAAATCGAAAGATATTTTTCATCAACCCTGAACTAGTAACCTCTGTGCAACTACTTAAATATTCCTAAAAGAGATGCTTAAAAGCGCAAGGAAGTAGGAAAATAAGGATTTTGGATAGACATCTTCTAATTAATTGACCATAAATAAATATAAAAATACTTCAGTCTCGTACGTGAAACTTCTACTTTAGGACGACAATTTTCACTCAAGTTTCGCTCAGGATAAATGTTTGTCCTTGATAAAATCGATATTAAATTTATAAAGTGGTTCCTCCCAATTTTATTTCTCTAGAATGCATTTAGCATGCACGGGATTGTCGGCTTATTTCTAAAATAACTTCATAAAAGTATTAACCTTTCGCAAGCATTGTAATTTGATGTTGAGAACAGTGAAAAGCTTCAGTTGCATTGAAGTTGGATGTCGTAAAATGACAGACTAGAAGTCATTACGTATTTGAGTAAATAATTTAAGGTATGCGTAAAATTAAGATGCAAATACTTATGCATTAATGTTAAATTTTATAACACTCTTAATCAAAGCATCAAATTACGGGGCAGTGTTGCTGAAAATATAAATTTGGCACTAATAATTAAGTTTAATAATAATATAATTAAGTTTAATATCAATAGGTATATAACAAAATGCACTCAAGTAAAAGATTATCAACGCATTCGGGTGTACTCAAAATGAGGATGTACTGATTGCATTAAAAATATACGTTAATTTCCCGGTTGCGCGTGTAATATTTAAGTTTTGACGATTAACCTTGCACTGTTGTTAGAGAAATGTTTCCAGAAACTAGTATTGTTCTGTAGTAGATGAAATCCTTCTGCCTTTCTAGAAAAAGCTCAGGATTATTTTGATGCCGTGCCTCTCATTATCAAGATTTGTAAAGAGGGTAAAATATTAATGCTAATTCATAAATGGCAAAACTTGATTCCTGTTGTCGCTAAGTAGAAAGGGCTTTCCCACTGAAGAGATAATAACATCTGGTGTTGTTGAAAATATTGTGGTATTTAAAATATTTGAACATTTAAGCGAAATTACAAAAGTGTGGAGGAAGAAAGATACGGACGATATACTGACAAAATTTTAGACACGGATGATGATGCTGAGATAACTAAGTATTCTTGAAAACATTGAATCGGTAAGTGCTAATTCAGAAGAAGGCGAAAAATGGAAACGGAAGACGAGGGTGAAATACTAATGAGGCTGATCGAGAAGCCACACTGAAATGTAAAATCAAGTCGTAAGACTTCTCGTGATGTCGAATTCATTATAGATCTATGATGTGTTTGTCATACTATCTGAAATAAGGTGAAATAGGTTCTCAAAAAACAAATATATAACAAACAAGTTTTCAAAAAGTTTTTAAAATATGTAAGGAAATTCTAGTTTAATTTAATTCTAGTTTTAAACAACACATTATATACCTCTCATTTAAAACTTTTGAATGATCTTCACGGCAACAGCTATTTTTAGATTAGCCATGTTTTATGTAAAGGTACACAATACTGTTTATGTAGCCTATCATTTTACTAGACAGTATTCTTCTTAATCTCTTAGTTTATTGTTTAAACATTTCTATTATTTTAATATAAAATCATAAAATAGAAATGAAATCTTAAATTTATGTGATTCATATTTACCAGATAATCCAGTGAATAAAAATTTGGCGTTATTCTACCTTTGTGTAATACACTTCCAGAAGTTCAAATTCATTAATGCAAGTTTGCTTTTCCGTATTTTTATCACAATCTTTTCAAGATTAAAAATGCATGAAATGTACTTACTCTCAGCAGTTTGGGTTTTTATATTACTTCAGTTTACACTGAGATTTTTAAATCATTAATATGTGAGGGCCTCAACATCAGATATATTCACGTCAGGGTTGCTGCCAACAGCAGCGCATAAGTCATCATCCACAAAACATATACCGCTAAGGAAGTTTTGAAAAGACCAAGTGAGTGAAAAACTTTTGGGGTTAAACCCAGATTGCGTAAAATGTGTTGAAGATATTGTCACCCGAATTCGCAAGAAAAACATGAATTAACCACGTCCAGTGAGGAGTTGTGATGGAACATTACCAAAATCAACAAGAGGTTTAACATTGTTGTGATTATGTAGGCTTGGACGTTTTCTGCGACTGAAAGCAGTCACATTCACATATTGCTTCTGTAAATGGACTATCAGCATCAAAAGTGTATCTAATGCTTCTGTTTCTAACCCTCCATCCACAGACGGTTTCACTAAAAACCTCAAATTTGCACAAATTGCCATGAGAAAAAGGTAGTTTTTAATTTTAATGCTAAAATGTCGTTGCTTCTTTATTTATGAATTTATATACTTTTAATATATTGGCTGAAGCCCAATTGATATAGTGGTTAGGGTCGCCGACTGCGATACCAAAAAGCCCAGGTTCGAATCCAGGAGAAGGCATGGTTGTAACTATCCTTTCTTCATAGGAAGCAAAGGTGGCTCACCTATTAGGAGCCTCCACACTAAAGTGACCACTACTTCTGGCCTTAGAAGTGGCCAAGCCGAAGACGGCTGAGGGCCCGCTATT